CTCTCCTCCTCCTTCTCCTCCTCCTCCACCTCCTCCTCCCCCTCATCCTCCTCCTCCTCTCCTCCTCCTCCTCCTCCTCCTCTGCTCTCCTCCTCGTCCTCCTCCTCCTCCTGCTCCTCCTCCTCCTCCTCCTCCCCCTCCTCCTCCTCCTCCACCTCCTCCTCCTCCTTCTCCTCCTCCTCCTCCTCCTCTCCCTCCTCCTCTCCTCCTCCTCCACCTCCTCCTCCCCTTCCTCCTCCTCCTCCTCCTCCTTCTGCTCCTCCTCCTCGCCCTCCTCCGCCTCCTCCTCCTCCTCCTCCTCCTCCTCCTCCTCCTCTTGCCGCGGCGCGCGGTCCGGGAGCTCTGTAAATGGATGCTGGCGCTGAGCGACCCTGGAAGGCGGCGCCCCTCTCGGATGCGGACCTCATGTCCGCCTTCGGCATCGGGCGCGACGGCGCCGACCACGCCCCCGCCGCGCCCGAGGTGGGCAGCCGCGGCGCCGCGCCGGAAGCGCAGAGGGGTGTCGCGGGGAGCGCCAGGGAAGGGAGGGTCCAGGAGGAGGAGGAGGAGGAGGAAAAGGAAAAGGAGGCAGGAGGAGGAGGAGGAGGAGGCGGAGGCGGAGGTGGAGGCTGGGGAGGAGGCGGAGGCGGAGGAGGAGGAGAAGGAGAAGGAGGAGGAGGACCAGTGTAAACCCAAGAGCCACGAACGATGTTGGAATAAACCCTCCCCCCAAGCTCCCTTTTTCATAGGCCCCTGATTACAGCGTTTCATTTCCACAGGGACTTGCCTGGTTGGAAGACAACCGTTTGAAGACCCTGAAGCATGCCAAAACAGTATTCTCGGTATTCCAACGCCACGTGTGAACCTGAATGTTGCGTCTAGACGATGCAGTATCGTGCCAGAACGCCATTCCTGGGACCTCAACTCCGCGAATCATCGTGGTTGTTGCGCCCTCAACGTCGTGAATCTTTCAAAAAACACTATTTCTGGTACGTCGACCATAAAAAAAAACAATCCGTGAAACTCATGCAGTTTTTGAGAACGAATGTGCGCGGCGCTAAGACATTGTGAAAACGACCCGCCTTCAATCCGTGAAATTGTTGCACATGTTTAAAACGGATGTGCGCGGCGCTGAGGCGAGAGCCACATTTTGAAAACGACCCGCCTTCAATCCGTGAAGTTCTTGCGAAGTTTGAAAATGAATGTGCGAGGCGCTAAAGCGAGAGCCACAATTTGAAAACGACCCGCCTTCAATCCGTGAAGTTCTTGCGAACTGTTAACTCGAATGTGCGCGGCGCTAAGGCGGGAGCCACATTTTGAAAACGACCCCCCTCACTCCGTGAAGCACTTGCAATTTTGTATAACGAATTCGCGCGGCGCTAAAGCGAGAGCCCCAATTTGAAAACCACCCGCCCTCAATCCGTGAAGCTCTTGCAAATTTGTACAACCAGTGTACGCGGCGTTAAGGCGAGAGCCACATTTTGAAAACCACCCGCCCCCAATCCGTGAAACTCTTGCAAATTTCAGACGCTTCGCGTATCCCCACCAGCCCGTCCAGAAACGACGCCCAGGCGAGTAGAGGGTCGTCCTGAGGGGCTTTTCGGCGTCTTGGGTGCCTCGGGGGGGCCTCTGTGGGCCGTTCGGAATCCTCTTTGGGGCCTCTTGGGGCCTCTTGTGGCCATCTTGGGGCCTCTGGGAGCACCTTGGGTGCCTCTGGGGGGTCTCTTGTGGCCTCTTGGGGGTCTCTTGGGGGCCTCCTGGGGGCCTCTTGGGGGGCCTCTTGGGTCCATATTGTGGCCATCCTGCGGCCTCTTGGGGCATCCTGGGGGCCTCTTGCGGCCATCGTGGAGGAAATCGATCAAAGAAGAGGGGTTCCTAAATTTCAGCCCCTGGGGATGGCCCGCTTGCCCCTCCATTCGAGGTGCCCCAGGGCGCTCGGGCCTGCTACCCGCCCGTGGTCGCTGCCCCCGCCCGTTCGGGGTCGACGGACGCTCTATCCTCCCCCGCGCCGGTCAGGGCGACCTACCCCGCTGGTCTGGCGACGTCGCTTAACGTTGGGTATGATCCTTCGACGTCTTGCCGCCTCGCCGTCGGAGCGTCGCCTGGCGTCGCCTCTGCTCGTTCGGCGCGGTTTCCGCCGTCGCGTCCCCCCCCCGCACGGCCGGCCGCCTTCCTCGCTCACATGGTCTCCACGCCATCCCTCTTGGCGATCCGGGTTTCTCTGTGGAGCGCCTGCACGACGCCTACGTCCTCCTCGACTACGCGGCGGTGGTCATCGAGTGCAGCAGCTTGTCCTTCGTCGCCATTTTGGCGCTGCACGTGGACCTGGTGCTCTTCCTGGTCCTCCTCGTCTGCTGAGAGTCTGCGCAGTTCGCCTGTGCGCGCGCGGCCTAATTTACATCGTGGGATGCTGCTTTGCGACTTTCTGACGACGTGCGGCTCTTCCGCTTCGCTTGCGATCGAAAGCGTCCCCACCAGCCCATTCAGACGCCCTGCCCATGAGAGCTGACGAGAAGGGGCGAAGAGACACATCTAGGGAAACAAATCGAGCATCCAGGGTGAACCGAAAGATCTCTTGGAGCAGGGGGGGGCTTGGAGGGGCTCTTCGGGCCATCCCTGGGGACCGCGTGGGGGCGATGGGGAAGAGGGGGGGGGGGGATGGGGGAGGTCGAGGAGGAGGACGAGGAGGACGAGGACGCGGATGAGGACGAGGACGAGAAGAACGAACATTAGGATGAGGACGACGCGGACGAGGACCCATGGAACCATCTAGATGTCTTATTGCGGCTGCTGTTGTTGGTGCTTTCTGGGTGTTTCGGGGGACTCATCGCAACCCTCTCGGTAACTCTGGAAGGCTTCTTGGGACCATCTTGGAGGCCATCGATTACAGGATGGGGGGGGGGTCCCCAAGTCAGCTCCCCCCTTCAGGAGCCCACATACCGCTTCTTGGGGCTCTCGTTTGGAGCATATTGGGAGCCATCTTGAGCCAACCTGGGCTCTCTGAGCCACCTTGGTGGTCATCTTGGGCTCCCCGAGGCCGCTCGGTGGCTTCTTGGGGCCGTCTTGGGGCCCTCGTGGGACCCCCGTGCGGCCCAAAAGTGGTTGTCGTGGGGCTCTCTTGGGAGCCTTCGGGCGTCTCTTGGGGCCATTTTCGAGGCGATCGATCAAAGCGGGGGGGGCTCCTGATCGAGGTCCCCCCCCCTCTGGGGCCCTGAAAACCGCCACCTGGGGCGTTCTAGGGGCCATTTTAGAGCGCTTGTGTGCGTTCTTGGGGCCGTATGAAGGGCATCTTGGGCCCCTCTTGGGGGCTTTGTTGGGCCATATTGGGGCCATCGGGGGGGCCCCACTTCGCATCGAAAGTGAAACGGCGAGACGACAACCATCATCAAATGTCCTTATGTTTTTGAAGGATTTGGGCTGTTGGAGGGGTCCTAAGGATCCCCGAGGGCACTGGAAACCGTCTTGGGGCCATCTTGGGGCCTCGTGGACGGCGAGGGACGGGCAGGAAGGCGAAGGCGAACAGGAGGGCGAAGGGCGAAGGGGAGGACGATGATAAATGTTTTGGAAAACGAGGGCGAGGGGGGATCACCAGGAGGAGGGGGGAGAAGGGGGAGTAGGCCAAAGACGAAGACGTGGACTAGGAAAAAGGTAGGGACGAGGAGGAGGAAGAGGAGCAAGAGGATGAAGAGGAGGAGGAGGACGAGGAGGAAGAGGACCATTCGAAACCCAAGAGCCATCAACGATGTTGGAATGAACCCTCCCTCCATGTTCCCCCTTCACAGGCCCCTACAACGGTTCAGGTTTCATTGAGGAATGTTGAGGGAATGGCCTCGCTGGAAGACAGCAGTTTGAGATAATGACGCGTGCCAAAACATAGGACTCTGGATTTCAACGCCACGTATCAACCTGATTGCTGCGTCTTGACGATCCAGAATCGTGCCAGGACGCCATTTTGGGGGGGATTTCAGCACGGCGAATCAACATACCTGTTGCGCCCGCATAGTCTTGAACCCGTCCAAAACACCATGTGTGGTACGTTGATCATGGGGATCCGCGAAGCCCTTGCAAATGTTTACAAAAAGTGTGCGCGGCGTTGCAGCGAGAACCGCATTTTGGCAAGGAACCGCACTCAATCCAAGAAGCTCTTGCATTTTTACAAAACACATATGCGGGGCGCTAGTGGGGAAACCCACATGTTCAAAACCACCCGCCGTCAATCCGCGAAACTCTTGCAAATGTCGCCCCCGTGCGCGGCGCTAATGCGAGAGCCACATTTTGCAAACCACCCGCCCTTAATGCGTGAAGCGTTTGCAAATGTTTAAAACGAATGCACGCGGCGCTAATACGAGAGCCGAGGAGGAGGGAGGAGGGAGGAGGAGGAGGAGGAAAAGGAGGAGGAAAAGGAGGAGGAAGGAGAGGGAGGAGGAGGAGGAGGAGGAGGAGGAGGAGGAGGAGGAGGAGGAGGAAGGAGGGGGGGAAGGAGGGAAAAGCAGGAGGAGGAAGAGGGGGAGGAGGAGGAGGAGAAAGAGAGCCTGAGGAGGAGGAGGAGGAGGATAGGAGGAGGAGGAGGACCTCCATAGAGACCCTGCGGCGGCTCCTGAAGGAAAACCCCCAAGGTGCAGCTGCGGCGCTCCGCCGGCTCGCGATGCAGCCCGCGCTCGGCTTCCCCGACCTGATGCGGGACCCCGACGACCCGACCTGGTCGGGCTCGCGGCGGTGGCGGAGGGCGCGGCGCGGTACATCCGACGGAGGGACGACCCGCCGTGGGGCGTGGACTGGGACTCAGCCCATTCCACCTCCCTCGACCAGCGAGTGGGGGATCTCCGGCGCGAGGCGCTTGAAACCCTGGACACCTGGGACCCGCAGGGGGCGTACGCGGTAGAGGAGCTGGAGGCTGCCATCCGGAAGATCAAAACCCGAGCCCGATGCTGGGGACTCCCGGATTCCCTTACGCCATCCTACACAGTGGACATACGGACGCACTCCTTGCCTTCCTGGCAACCATGACGCTCAGCAGCAAGTTCGGCACAGCGGCGAGCCTGTGGCTGATCCAGGCGAACTACCACAAGGCAAAGGAGGGCAAGAGCCGCATGGACTTCGATGGCTTCAGAGTGCTGGCCCTCTGCTCGGTAGAGGTCGCCACCTCAGCGCCCTGAAAGCCGCGGCCCCGCCGATGCAAGAATCGGGTGGAGACTGCCTGGCTGCCGGCCTCCTGGATCAGGAGTGCAATGCCATCTTTAAGGCGCAGGGGCGCCCGCTGGTGAACGTGTTCGCGGACGAGGCCGAGGCGTTCAAGGCCGTGAGCTCCGCCCAGCTTTCGTGTAACATGTGCGTTTTTTATCCGAGCACGTCTTCAAGTCCTTGAAGTTCTGGAAGATCATCTTTATGACAGTCACAGCGTTGGATGCCCACGTAGACGTCGGTGATGGAGTGAAGTTGCACGTCTTCGTGCTGTCGCACTGCGCCAACGCCTTTTCGAATATGATTCCCGGCACCATGCCGTTGCGGCAAACCTTGGCGAGGGTCTTGAAGAGCCCAGCGACGCTGTAGAGTGCGTCTGCTTTCGGTGACGTTTTCCACGTCACCCCTTTGTCGGTGGCTGCCTTCAGGTAGCGGCGGATGTCCCTCGTGGCGAGCTCCCCTTTGAAAAACCTCCCCAGGGAATCCTCAATATTTTTTACAGAGACCATAGGATCTGCTTTGAGACAGGCGGAGTTCACGATTTCAGAAAAAAAAAAAAGTTTCCATGTTTGCGCCCTCGTCGGCACGCAGATCCGAGCACAGGTCGACCAAACATTCGAACGGCGTAGTATTGATGGCTCGCTTCTCCTGCGCGTTGGCTGGGCTCGCGGCGCGTGCGCCAACAAGTCGGCTGACGTCGCTCTCTTCTTGAGCAATGGCTTTCGTGAGTCTCACATCGTTCGGCAATGGCACGTTTGACCAGAGCTGGCAGGACTGGGCTTCGTAGTTCGACTGAAGCGAAAAGGCATGGATATAGCAGTCTGTGGGCTATACTATCCATCCTCCTCGGCCGCGCGGGGTGCAAGATCGGCCGAATCATTGCGTTGCCGTTTCAAGATTGGCTACGTGGCTGCGCAAGGTCTTTGCGCACTTGAGGGCTAGGGCCAGGGCGTGACCCAGCATTTGCGTAGATTTGAATGACGGCCTAGATATCTCGCAAGTCGATGGCAAGTGGAAGTATAGCGCATAGCGGTGCTACTGTCGTCTCGGAGTCGCTCACAATTAAGGAGCACTTAGGAGGAGGGGCGGGGCAACTCGTGAGGGGGATTATGGAGGAGAACGGGATGGTGCTTCCTGGGCTTCGACACGTCGTGGAATCCACTTGGTGCGGGCAGGGCGGGAGTTCGAGCAGAGTCGACAACATCTCCAGGCCCGCGGCAGCCGTCGGAATTCAGAAGTCGGGGGGGCCCACTTGGAGGCCGCATGCGAAAGCATCAGCTTATGCCTTCTCGTCGCGCCGCGACCACGCACCATTGCATTGTAATCGTGTCTGGGAACCCACGTATCCGAGCGAATTGCAGCGATTTCGTTCTTTGTTGAAGTGGAATGCCATGCGGTCGCGAGAGCCCCGGTGGAACTCTCTTTGTCGTGCCGCCGCTGCCTTGAGAGTCGGGGGGCCGAGCTGCAGTCTTTCCCATTGACTTAGGTCGGTCGGTCGGCAAGCCCGCCGATTTTCCGAAGCTACTGAATGATGTTCTCAGGGGGCCTGTCAGAGAAGATCTCGGCGGCACTATGCACGCTGCATCTCCAGATTTCCCGCGCCAAGCCGATGAGCGACGAGGGCTGTTTCGAGCGCGATTGCGATTGCGGCCGCCCCTGCGCGACGCCGGAAAAACCGAGGGGGGGCATGTGGCAGCCCAGCTCAAAGCCAGTAGCCGAGCTTGTGCGAGACGCAGGAGGATGCGCTACACGAAGCGGAGGAGGTCACGATAGAGCTAGAACAAGCTTGGCGAAGCGGAAACCACGAGGAAGCACGCCGTCTAGTCCGATTTATGGCATCGCGTGGAAGAGGCCCTCTAGTATTTGTAAGGCGCGTCGCTGTCCGCCGACGAGTGGTTTAGCACGTGGAAACTAGGTGGGCCTCAGGGGGCATTGAGGTGGAGGAGATTTACGGGGACGAGGAGTACGAGGAGGCGGGCGAGGAGGGCTACTGCGGGGCTTTCAGCGCCGAGGCACTCACTGACATGTTGGCGAAACGTGAGTATTTGAGACGGGCCCCGAAGAGAAGGTCCTTTCCGCCCTGGACCCTCCCCGGTGGACTCTGAGGGCTTACTATTGATCCTGAGTTTGGGCTCGCCCCAGATCGGCTAGGCGTTGGGTCTGAGCGTTCCGTTGATTCAGCGGCCCTTGCCTCGGCCCGCGAGAGGGGCCTGCTGTGCCCGCCGGTTTGCCGGGCGATCCCCATCGGCTCCTGGGGCCGCGGCTTCGGCTGCGCCCCGCCGACATTTGCGGCGCCGGGGCGATGGGGGGGCGGGCGGCGCATCTTCTCGATCTTCCTGGAAAAGCGCGGCTCGCGGGGGCCATCTCTCGGAAGGAACCCGCCCCCCCTGAACTGGCGGACTGCGGCGTCTCGCGAGGCCGTCGACAGGAAGGGGCCACGCGGGCCATTCAGGTTGCGCTTCGTCGGCTTCGGCCAGGAGGCTTCCCCGTCTGCGCCCCGGCAGGCTCTCTTTTGCTTGGAGGTATCCGCCCTGCCACGCGAGTTCTGTTCTAGGAGGCCAAATTCAAAATGAAGGCCCGCTGTCACCGGGAATGAGCAAGCGAATCGTTGCCAGCAGGTCCTGATGTCATGCCCCGGGGAAGTGCCGGTCCACTCCTGGGGCCCCTTCTTCGGCTTGGGCGAGCGTGCTTAATGTGAGTTCAGAAACGCGGGAATGTCCAATATTGCAGAATTTCTCGCCGCAGAGGACCAGGGCGCCAAGCTCGACTCAGCCGTCACTCGACGCGCTCGAGTGGCAATGCGTGGCGCGCGTTCGGAAGGTGAGCGCCACCTGCGCAGCTTGCCGCGGCTGGCGAATGGACCCCGCTTCCCTCGAGCACGGGATTCGAAGGCTGGGCTGGCTGTCTCAACTTGTTAGGTGTCGCCGACGGAACTTGCGGATCTTGGCTGCGCCGTTCGGCGCGTTGCCCGCGGGCGGGAGGCCGCGGTTCCGTTGCGTGGGTCGTTTGACCGCTCGTGCTAATCCGTGGGCGCGGCTTATCTCCTCAGGCGCGCAGTCTCTGCAGTCCCTATGTGGGGGAGAAACATTTTTCGCTCGCATGCAGGGCTACTTCCTCGCTCTCTTCTGGGATAAGACTCGGGGGCGTGATTTTTGCAGCATTGATTTTGCCCAACTCCGTCGACGGCGACGCGCGGCGCCCCCCCCCCCCCGCCCACTGCGAGTCGCCTGTGGGCCAGGTGTCAGGGGCGAGGGCGGGGCGCCGACGGGGGGGGGAGGTCGGGGGTCGATATGGAGCGAGGTATGTAGATGAGTCGGCCCCCAATCATTCTAGATTTCATCGTCGCATGTGATCGTTGGGCCAGTTACTTCGCGCGACTAATATGTGTCCGAACTGTTCGGAATTACTTTCTAGCAAGATGGCGGCTGCCCGTCACTTAGCGATGTCCATGGTTCGCGCGCGCCGTTGATGCGGTGGGGGTTGTTCTCGGGGGTCGCTCCTTGAGGCTACTGATCAACTATGCCAGATGCGGTTATCATGCGTTCAGCTCCCAGACTACCAGCAACAACAACAACAACAGGTCTGTAGTCATTTTCCCCCAGCACCGAGGTTCTAGGATCGAAAGCAGCGCGGATGTCTGGGCGATAAGCTTCCAGCTGGCGTCGAAGCCCGCGCGGGCGTCGCAGCGTCGCGGCGGCGAGGCGCCAGCAGCCGCGCCGGCGAAGGCTGGAGACGGCGGCGCCCCAGCCGGGAGCGGAGGGGCCAAGTCTGACCTCGTCAAGAAGCAGGCTTCCGAGGAGCGCGCAGTGGTGATCGCCAAGTTGGCGCTGACGGGCAAGGCGGAGCTGCGGGCGCTCATCGGCGCGGTGCACGACGCGTGCCTGACGCCGCTGGGCGCGGTCGTGGCCAAGCGCGCGTTGGACGAGGGGGCCGCCTTCAACGCGGAGGCGCAGGGGCAGCGAGAGCGGCGGAAGGCCACGGGGAAGGGGGGCAGGCAGTTCGAGATGGCGAAGATGCGCGCGCCGTTCCTGCGGGCCTTCTCGGCGATGCTGGGCGGGGTCGCTGGCGCGGGCGAAGCCCGCGAGATGGGCGCGCTGAAGGGGAATCGCAAGGCGGCGAAGCACGGCGGGGGCGCGACGGTCACGCAGGCGCAGAACCCCAACGAGCTCAACGAGATGATTCGCTTCTGCCGCCCGAAGCGGTTCAAGAAGAAGAAGAATAATTATAGCGACGCGCAGAAGGAGCAGGCGAAGATGCAGTTCTGGATCGTTCAGCGGGCGCCGGGCTCTTTCGAGCTCGATCCTCCGCTCGATTCGCCAGGCGCTCGCCGAGGCGGGGGCGGGGGGGGCGGGCGGGGCTCCGGGGGGCATCCTGGCCAGGGCAGCGCAGCGCCTCTTGGGCCGGGCGAAGTTGCTGATGAGTTTGTTGCTCCAGGCGGAACGTGAAGTAGCCGACGAGTTGGTTCGCGTGGAAAAAGCCGCGGTCAGGTGTTCGGGCGCGCGGCTGATGAGATGGGCGCGCGTCGCGAAGTTCGCGATCGCCCGACTCAACCCGCCGCCCCCGACCGCAAATGCGAATCGCGCGGGGCCGACCTTTGACAGGCCAGAGCAGGCGAAAGGCAAAGGATCCGCTCGTAGCTCGGCAGTTTTCTCGCTCTGGGTTCAACTGGAGTCAGAGTAGCCGCGCGCGGGGGCTTCTGCGAGCAGGGGCGCCGAGTGAGACGGCGGCCAGATGCGTGGCAGGACAGGGGCCGTTCCCCAATAGATTGTCTCTTGCATGCTGTGATATTTTATTTCTCCTCCTGGCCTCGAGCCCCCCCGCCGAATCTGCTGCTGCCGCCCTCCCCGCAGCAGCGCGTTGCCCATCGGGCCCCGAAGTGAGGCCTGCCATCGCGTTCCATCGCCCCGGTCCGCCAGCGAAGGGTCGAGGACGGCGTCGCCCCAGCAAATGGTTGCTTCGGGGCGGCACCGTCGCTGGCAGCCGTAGGGCTGCGCGCCTGCTCGGGCTCGCCGCCTGGTCAATGTTTGCCCCGGCGGGGCGCCGATTCGCGCGCTCGGCGACTCGATGTGTCCTCCGAGTCGGAGAACCCAGGCGCCGCTTGTGCCCTCAATGAAC